GGATCCCCAGTTTGCCCGCATTTTGATAGCATAGGGCCCGACAAATGCCAAGATTGCAAAAGAACGGGACTAACTGTTACATGCCACCTTATTTAGTCATTTATTTTCTTTTGTTCGCATGGGCATTTCCTTACCTCCAATCTAATCTATGAAGTTAATGGGGGTGTAAATCCCTTCGAATCACCATCTGCAGCTTTCCCTACTGCATGATGCCATTAACATGGTAATGGCTAATTCCAACTGGAGTCTGTTAAAAATTCCCCAGGGCCCTCGCAAAGCGACCAAAGCTCCTGACCGACTGTGTGCCCTTGGAAAATCAACTTGCTCTGACAAAGTGGTATAATAAGCCCCCTGTATTTGAGGGTTAGGAAAACACGGTTTAAATGGCCCAGGTCAAAGCTGGGAGGGAGAGAGAGAGATAGAGTAGAAAAGAAAAAGAAAGAGAAAGAGAGAACACGAAACAGAAAGGAAGAGAGAGAGGGAGAGTGCCCAGGAAGGGAAAGGAAAGAAAGAAAGAAAAAGAAAGATAGAAAGGCAGACAGGGGCCCCTGGGTAGCTCAGTCGTTAAGCGTCTGCCTTCGGCTCTGGTCGTGATCCCAGGGTGCTGGGATCGAGCCCCACATCGGGCTCCCTGCCCCGAGGGAAGCCTGCTTCTCCTTCTCCCACTCCACCTGCTTGTGCTCCCTCTCTCGCTGTGTCTCTCTCTGTCAAATAAATAAATAAAATCTTTAAAAAAGAAAGAAAGAAAGAAGGAAAGGCAGACAGGCAGGAAGGCAGGAAGGATGCAGGGAGGGAGTGACAAGAGAGTAAATGAGCAGAGCCAGGGAAATTTTATATTGATTGAGGATTTGAGGAAGTGGACCGGGGGACAGCAAATTAGGAAATGCATAATGCATAGAGAATGTGCTTTCTGGAGCAGTCCTAGATCAAAGATCCCACACAAGGGCCTGGAATCCATAAGTTTACTTTTAGTGCCAGAAAATGTTTCAGAGAAGCTGCAGAAAAGCCTTCAAAGTTTTCTTTTAGGATCACATTTACCCCCAAAGAAATCGGCAAGGTGTTATCCATAACACCGGGCAGGATTTCTTCTAGACTCCTAATTTGCCGGAAGATTCTTCTTTGGTCAAATAACACCCAGCATGAAGAGAAAATGGGTGCTAGGGAAAGAGAAGTGGGCAGAAGTTCTTGAAAAATAGCCCGAGCAGAGGAAAACACTGAGTGACTGGGAGTTACGGGGACCTGATGGCTTTTAATATTTGAGGTTCAAAAAGAAAACTATCGTGAGAAAGAAAGTAGTTGGTTTTTGCTTGTTTGTTTTGCATTCCCACATTGCCTTGGGGACCCAGAGCACTAGGAGGTGCTGATCCCTATTGTCTCTGTGTTTCTCATACATTGTGAGGAGATCTGCTCTGTTAAACAGCTCATCTGAATTGCAAACAAGAGGTTTTGCAGATGCCAATCCATCTGGCATCTAAAACTCCAGGTCATATTTACATGGAGTCTTGGGTTCAAAATAACTTTATTTGCATATAGTATGGTAAAAATAATGACGGAGGGTAGTGCTGTGGTCGTGTTGGCTAGGTATCTCCCCAGGACATTACCCCAGCTTTCAAACTGTCAAGGTATGAATGGGCAAGAGACTTCCTCCGGTTGTCCAGAAGGCGAGGCGTGGCACTTCCTGTTTCGTAGTGAGAGGTCCTGAGTCTTAGCACCTTTTGGCAGTGTATGAGTTTCTTAATGCTGCTGTAACAAATACCATTGTCTTAGTGGCTCAATACACCACAGATTTATTATCTTCCAGTTCTGGAGGTCAGAAGTATAGAAATAGGTCCACAGGGCTGCATTCCTTCTGGAGGCCGTATGGGAGATTTTATTTCTTCACCTTTCCCGGCTTCTAGAGGTGGCTCGCATTCCTTGGCTCATGGCCTCTTCCTCCATCTTCCTTCCTCTCTGAACTCTGATTCTATCCTCATACCTCCCCCCCACTCCTCCCACTGAGCAAGGACCCTCGTGATTATAATCCAGGATAAATCTCCCCATGATAAGTGTCAAGATCCTTAACTTCTTCATCACATCTACAAAATCCCTTTTGCCATGTAGGGTAAGATAGAGGTTCAGAAGATTAGGGTGTGGAATATCTTTAGGGTCATTATTCAGCCTACCATATACAATCCTGACACAGGAGCAGCATATTAAAATGTAAGGTATTTGAACATATTTGCCAATTAAAACTATATCTATATATGTATTAATGGTCCATATACTTGATGCAAAAACATATATCTTCTTTAGCCTTACTATAGCTGTTTTAACATCATGTGAGCCTTGGTTCTCCAGCTGAAAGAAATATGTAGTCCAGAAAGCAGAGTTGTTATATACTATATTTTCCTAATTTCTTGACCTGCAATTTATTAACTAAGAAATCCCTGTTCAGGTACCTGGGAGGAAAAATGGTGGCAACATCCTTGGTTCTCCCTACTGACCTGCAGATATCTAAGTATCGACATGCAGATATTCAAATATTGACATGCAGAACTTGATTCTAGATATTGACAGGCATCTAGATAGTGACATATAGAACTTTCCATAATAGCAGTAAAAATTAAGTGGTCACCCATTTTGCTTGGAATTGGATTGGGTATTTTCCACACATATCTCATTTATTACTTTCCAGAACTTTCTGAAGGCTGTATAACTACATTCATTTTGCATATGGGGCAAGTAAGGATCAGAAAGAGTAAGTAACTTGTTCAAGATGAAAAAACTAGTTAGTTGCACTGTTGAGAGAGGTGGTAAACGTGAGGAACTCCTCATTCCCAACACATACACACACACACACATGCGCGTGCGCATGTGCACGCTCATGCAAACACAACACAGATTATGGAGTTCTTTCATTTGGCTGACACATTTGTAGATATTTGGGTGATTCAGATTTCCCTCATATTTTTTAGAGGCATGTGCAAGATCAGATTGGAATGAGAGCTAACCAGTGGAATTTTGAAAATATGATGCATCTGAACATGAGATACTTGAAACCTAGTTCGCTTTCGTCACTCTCCCCTTTATTTCATTTTTATTTCATTTCATTTTCAAGTTGGCTCAGTTCTTATAGCTGAAATGGCTTAATGGTCATTCCTGGTGTGTACATTTGTTACTAAATTTATTTTCTCAGTTATTCTTCACAGATGGTGGTGACCTCTCCTCATTGCCTTTCCCTTTTTAACCTACTGAGAGAAGCGCTCTCTCAGAACATCACACCACTGGCCCATATTAAGCATATTGATTTGAAAGAAATAGCTGGAAGGTCACAGCAGTTGGGTGACAGTGAACAGTGGTGAGTGGGGGCTTTGCTGGTTAGCATCAGGGCTGGGTTTGTAGTCTTAGGTCTTATTCAACTCAAATCCCAGCGGTCGTCAATAACAATGATGAGGATAAAATGGCCTCAAAGCATCGGGAGGACAAAGGGGTAGGGCCTGTTGGATGAGTGGTTTCAAAGCCCCAGGAAAATGAACTGATAATCCCTAGGGGACTGCTCCCATGGAGGGCAATTCTGAGAGAATTTGCCAGGCTTCTGTTCAGATAGGCTGCCGTTCAGATAGGCTGCCGGGGGAGGAGGGAAAGAGGCTTGAGATGGAGGGAGGAGAGGTGGAGTAGGGGTGCTGGCTTAAAGGAAAATGCTCTTAGGTATTGGATCAGCATTCCACGTTCATCATAAATGGACCTGTGTGTCTGTTCATGAGTGTCCTCCTGCTTGCTCGGTCCTTAGAGAGCACTGTTGTTTGACCTTCGGCATATTTGCACATTAGCTCTAATTTCATTTAAAATACAACCAAATGTAGGCTAAGAGGGTCTACACATCATCTCCTGTTAACTTCCAGAGACCAGCTCTTAGTCCCAGTCACCATGAGAACTGAGGCCATATGATCTCCAAGTCCTACTTACCGTCTCTGAAGATTAGGCCAAAGTCTTGTAATGAATCTTCAAATACTAATTTATATTCTTGTTCATCTTGTACAAAAACACACACACAAAATATCCTCCTACGTCCTTCCCTGACACTGTAGAGAAAGGAGCACTGTACTTAGAGTCGAATTATGTGGGTCCAACACACGACATTCTACTTCCTGGTCACGGAACATCCCTGAACCTCAGTATCTTCATCATTAAAATGGTGTAAATAATATCTATCAGGAAGCACTGTTATAAAAATCAAATGCAATTGGTGTGAAGGCTCTTAATAAAGAAGTGAAATACAGATATAAATTTTTATTATTACTTCAGGAAGGAACTAGGCAGTTTTGGGGACCTACAACATTAAAAGTAATTAGTGTGGGGAGAGTCCCTAAGATGGTAAAGGGACAGGTACATGGGGAACAATAAGAAACCATAGAATTGTTTTAGATCCATAAAAAGCCTCAGAGGTATCCCACAAGCTGTGGATAAGAAGACTGAGGCATTAAATTTTATCAGGTCCAACACACCATGGGTGACAACACTGATTCTAGAAGCCAGGTCCTCTGATTCCCAGTAGAATGCTTGCTCTGTGATAAGACAGAGTTTCAAAGGATTAACAAAAAGTGCCTTAAACTATCCTTTTAATATACCTACAGATGGTCATCTGTGCCACATTGCTTTTTTAATTGATATGGTGCATGTCTCATACCTCCTCATCATTCACAACCTCACAACCCCTTAGACTGCGAGTTCCTTAAGAAGCGTGTCTACTGTAATATGGTGTACACCTTAGCTTCAACGCAGTTCCATGATTATAGCTGGAATTCAAATAAAATTTGCTCAATGAACTAATCTATTGGTTCTCATTTCTTAGGAATGCCTTCTGAGCATATAACCCTTTAGCTCTTGTCTTTTTTCAAAGCTTTACCTTAAAGTGAATGGTTATTTATTAAAGGGTTCGCTTATATGACCATCTGTAGATATATTAAGAAGATACCTGTTCTTTTGTCATCTCAGGGACTCTCCCCACACTACTTTTTTTTTTTAATATGGACCGCTTCACAAATTTGCATGTTATCCTTGCACAGGGGCCATGCTAATCTCTGTATCATTCCAATTTTAGTATATGTGCTGCCAAAGTGAGCACCACACTAATTACTTTTAATGTTATAGGTCCCCCCATTTAATGAGGCCTTGGAGGACCAGCAGGGCTTTCACCATGAGAGCTGGCAGGTGAGAGGGGCCCATCACATGCAGATGGAAGAGTTGCCTGGCTGGGGAGAGCAAGCAGAGCAGCTGGGTTTTTACTGGGGCATTCTGGGAAGTAAGGAAAATAAACACAGTAATTCAAAGTGTATTCCATCAAGTAGTCTGGATGGGTGAACCACATTTAAGATACTTTCTATCATCACTATTTGTATTTGCTATTACACATTTAAAGTCTTTTAGAAAATGTATATTATGACTGTGATAGGCTGCCACAAATAGATCGATAGCCACAAATTTTGAGTGCCTGACATTTTTGTCCATCTTCTTTTCTCTGGTTCCTTTGAGAATCTTCTCTTCTCTTCTATATGGTCCCTCACAGGGGAGGAAGCATAAGCCAAGTTTGACCTATCATGGTACATTACACTAGACATGGTGATTGGTTTCAAGATGAGCATGGGGACCATACCAGACCAATCAGTCATTTTCAAACAGAGATCTTCAGAAAGAGCAACGTTTGCCCTTGAGCTTGCTAGAACAGAAGGACGTAAATCTTGACCAGCACTTAGACGGTGACAGAAATTCTCTCTTGAGCGAACTGTAGTTAGGCTCCCCTGAGCCCTCTTCTCGACTAGGCCTCAACCTTGGCCTTCCATGTCCATCCTGTCCTTGCTGGGCCTGCACAGCCCAGGTTTAGCAAGAATCCTGCTAAGTCGGTTTATGGAGAATCCCTGCCCCCACCTGGTATCTGATCAAGTTCCTTATTCCCCATGTTGATGTTTAAGTCCTTGGCCTGCCTTTAGCAAGAATCCTTCTACCCTTGATGTCTTCTCTGAGTAGTTTTCCATCCACTGCCCCCCTCACCCTGCTCTTTGGCTATAAATCCCACTGTCCTTGCATTTGGAATTGAGCCCAATCTCTCTCCCCGATTATGATAGTGTTGACCCCATTGCATTCTGACACTTTTACAAGCGTCAGAATAATTCTTTAACAGGGGCTAACAGAACTCATCAGAGCTGAGAGTTGGGGAGGCAAAGCACTGACCACTTTTGAGACCGAGTGCCTAAAGCCAGAAGCATCCATGGACCTTCCAGTTATGTGAGCCAGTTATCTCCTTTTTACTTAACTATGATGGTGTTGAGGTTCTCTCACTTGCCATGGAAAAGGCTCCAATAAATGCAGCAAGTCCTTATTGCTTTGAGGAAACTTGACATAGACTAACTGGGTACAGTGGTATTAAAGTTAAAAATCCAAGACAGCCCAGATTTTCCCCTGCCTCCTCTCCCAATGGCAATGGGAATGAGAGTAGGTGTTTCTTGTGGATATTTTATTCTTTCCAAAATTAACATTTGTAAAACATCTGTTGTAAGGCAAACACCATACTAGTTTTATATAAGCTATTTTATTTAATTCTGTCTCTCAAAGAAGTCCTTGTTATACCTAATACTCAGATAAGGCAACTGAGGTCCAATGTGTTTTAACGAACCTTGGAATGTCTACCACCAAATCACATGTTCTTTCTCCCACACCTCTCGAGATGCACTTTGATAAGGACATTTTTCCTTGACAAAGAACATTGTTTCTTTTTGGTTGTACTTTATAAAAATTGTGGTGAAAATGTACCAACCATTTTACATTGTTTGTTGGTTAGTTTCTTTACACTCAAGCAAATGTGCTACAGAAGAATGAAACAATCTTAAATTTACCATACTTAGTTTCTGTCCTTTCTTTATCTACAATATAGTATTTACCTAATAGTGTGAAGGGAAGCCTCAATGGACGTAGACACCAAACACTCCCTGGAAAACTCTATGAGGTCACTAGGGTTTTACTGCTTCAGTGTAGTGGTGTAGAAAAAGTCCTGGGTATAGACATTTGGGCAGCCCAAGGACAGCACTTTACAGCTGTCCCATGAAAGCGCTTTGAACTTTCTTTTTTTTTTTTTTTAAGATTTTATTTATTTGAGAGAGAGAGTGAGCAAGAGAGAGAAGGAGCAGGGGGAGGGGCAGAGGGAGAGGGAGAAGCAGACTGCCCGCTGAGCAGGGAGCCCAAC